ACCAGGTGAAACACTTTACTTTTGTAGGAATGTCACTCTTCCAAAAGTAGTTCCAATTATATTTTGGGGCCCCTGTCATCCCCATTAGTCCTCTTTTGTAGGCATTGTTGACTGAGAAGACTCCATCCTTGCTATGTTTCCACAGGATCTTGTCTGTTGCTGTTGTAGTTATAATCATTCCAGCTAGTTTTTCCAGTAGCGCTGCCACCCTCTCCACCTCCCAGTCATTAAGTAGTCTTCTTAAAGATATGTCCCATCCCTGTTCTGTCCAACAATCACTCACTCTAGCATCAGGGTTCTCACAGATTAGAAACAAATCTGGAAAAAGTTCTCTAAGAGAGATTTGGTCTATCCAACCATCTTTCCAAAATTTAGTTTTGTTTCCATTACCCACCTTAATATACACATTTCCTTCCATTTGTGGCCATAGGTTCCTGATTGTCCTCCATACCCCCACCCTGATTGAGGGGAATGAGTTGGTGTCTCCTTATATGGTCCTAAGCAATATTCTCTCATGAGCTAATTTTCTAAACTTGGTAGTAGAGACAAACTGGTTTCAATTCTTGGTTAGCCCAATATTGGGTCCCCATTCTATATTCACGCTTTAAATGTCCAGCTTTGGGCTTGCGGGGAAATGTTAAGTTCTCCACGTTGATTGAGGAAATCTAAGATTGTCTCCTTAAATTGTTGCACAGTCCTCACCTCAACTAGCTTTTGTGGTTGAGTTATACCTGATGTTTATTTTCTGAACAAGATGGGCACACTTTTTCTTTTAACTTTATCTTATGTTGTAAAACTAACCTAACTTCTATCTATTCGGGAAAGTGTTATTCAACGACTAACACAATGCAAAGGTACTGTAGTTGGAGAAAGTATTATTTCTTCCAGAATACCCTGGATGTTACTAGTGCATTCTGTTTTGGTACTTTTAGCTGAAACAATGTTCTTGTTGTCTTCAGGAAATTTCTGGTGTTATGCAGTGCTAATTTAGAGTGTTTGTTTCAGTTTTGTTACAATTTCCTTTAACATATTATCAGCTTTATCACGATGGTGCATTTCATATCGTAAGAAAGCCAAGCAGATTGTTGAAACATGGGATAAATCATTCAGATCTGCACAGCGGGAGCAACGTGTTTCGTTTCTGTACTTAGCCAATGATATTATCCAAAATAGTCGGCGCAGGGGTAGTGAGTTTGTTAATGAGTTCTGGAAGGTCCTTCCTGCGTCTCTGAAGCAGGTTTATGAAACTGGTGATGAAAGTGGGAAGAAAGTGGCTTCTAGACTGGTAATCCCCTTTCTGCTTTCTGGTAGGTGTACTTGTATGTTGTTAAGTTGGGGCTAACTGACAAATGAGAAATCAACTTGTGCATCAGTTAGCCTGAAGCTAGGAAACTTGTGTGAAGCTTCTTTTTCTCCATATATATATATATATATAATTGCATTGGAGGTGATAATTCCTTAGCTATGTAGTTGTCCTATACATTGTTCCCTGTGATATGACCCCAATGCATGGTGTGTATTATATTTGCAAATAACTCTTAAAGCATGGACCATATTTGTGGTCAGGGCTTTTCAAATTCTACCTTCATGTGTTCCCTTAGCAGCACACTTCTCGTTAAGTGTGGTCAACATAATATTTCTTAGCCCACAAAATCCCAAACTTCACCTCTCTTAAGTTTCCAAATACTGCTGGTCAACATAACATTTCTTGGTCAACATTTTTCTGCCACCTTGGATTTTGTGGTCCACATTCCTCTGTTATATATGATTTCAGTTCTACAACATCGAACCTTCACTTCTTGACGTCCTTTTCCATGATTTTTCACTTTTGTGTTCTATGTCATCATCCTAAAACAAAGCATCTTGCATGAGACTTTTTCTATCATTATCACCTAAAGACACTAAAAATCTGAGTAAAAGGCAATGATAAGTTGCTAAAATCTTTCACCTTGGGTGGCTCAGATAGTTTGGCTTGGGACTTCCATAATGAAGTCTCAAGTTCGAAACCCCTTTCCTGCAATAGCAAGGGGTTGGTCTTCTGGGTCAAGCTCATCACATCTGGCTTGCTTAGTGCGGTTTACCTCTCTTGTGTAGTTTGCAAGCTATTGCACAGGAGCGGGGTTTACCTTCACCCTAAGGGGTAGTGGCTGCGGGTTCCCTTGTCAACAAAAAAATCTGACCATTATTTTGTATTTTCATCACTATTTTTTTTCTTTTGGATGGGTTGGTTGGTTGAAATTCTGCAGCAACTTACATAGTTGAACTCAAATATTGAGAACTTTCTCTTTCCTTTCATTGTACCTTAGACATGAGCAAGATAATTTTGAAAAGCAAAACAAATTTTGTTAGAACTACTCTAATGTGCACGTGTTATCTTTGAAGCAGACATTATCAACTAATTACACTTAATTATTTATTCTTAGTGATTGTTTTTCTTATTTACTCTATCTTTTCTTTTCCTCTCTTGTTCTTCCTGGCCCACATATTCTTTAAAGACCACACAAAACCCACCTTCTCCTCACTGCCACACCACTACCACTACCATTACAACTTCCGAAACTTCCACTACATCTACCATTCTATCCGACCTCTAAAACCCTCACCATTTCCATCACCATCTACACCAACTCTAGCTCGAAAACTTTCACCATGACCAGAACCACCCGTTTCATTTCATCACCTTCACCACCTCTGGTCCTCTGGTGACAGTCAAACAACTACAAACTTCACTCTCACGCCACAACCTCCCCACCACCTCTCTTGACGTCCAACACCAGATTTATTCCCACAACCACCGATCCTCCTTTCCCCTCCACCACCTTCCACGACCTCCTGACAACCACCAACACCATTCTTTCCCCTTTATCTTTAATTTGCTTGATGTGGATGACTGAACCTGGAAAGAAACCTCTAAGGCAATGATATGTAGTTGATGCTACATGAATGGAGGCCATGATTTTAATAAATTGTTAATAGTATCAAAATTTTCTATTGTGAAGACATGAATTTGGACCAATATTCTCATTTTTGACAAGAATATCTCTTGACAATTTCTCAGTCCTTTCCCCAGCGTCCAATCTGTCTCAGAAGAGAAGACTAAGCTCAGACGGATTGCAGTCCGCTGAGGCCCCTCCTTAGTGACTTTGGTCAGGAATAGGATTTTATATTTTTCTTTCACTATGTAGCTAGAGCAATATTGCTACAAGCAGTGAGTGTAAAGTTTCTGCAACAGGCTTTACAAGCCTAAAGAACCACAAATAGTAATGTTTGGTCATATTATGCTGCTTGTTTTTACTGTCAACTGTTGCATTGAATTCTGAGAAGTCCCTCATTCCCATTATTGTCAAGGGGCATCATTTTTTTCAGTGGACCTTGTTAAATTGCTGTTGATAGCAGAGAGAGTCAATTAGAGACATGCTTATAAGATTTCAAAGAGGCAGTGCATTTTCAATCTAATTCCAATCAGTTCATTCCAAAAATGTCTTGTAACGGTTGCTATTTGGGCCATGAGTCCTGCTGTCCTAGAAGAAAATCCACTGACATTCTCTTCAAACTTCATTAGAATTCTTGTAACATGTGGGAAAGCCAGTACTTAGAATACTTCTCGTACTCTACTACAATGCTTGGATATGCCCTTCTTTCGCACATCTTTGACATCCTCTTAAAGGTTTGTCTAGAACCTGGACCTCATGGCGATGGAAGGCACACCTCATTGTCTTGGTGCTTGAATTGATGCTCACCCCTAAGGGATGAAGCACTTGACATGTCATCTTTGTTTATCAAGACAAACTGCTTAATTTTGGCATTTACTTAGAAGTTAGAAACTTCTTCACAATGTCTCTCTATAGCTTTGGTGTAATTTTTAAGTTTACTGTCCTCTGAAGCCCATATAACTTTTTTACTTCTCCCTTCTCTTTCTGATTTGGTTTGTTCTTTTTTTGGGTAATGTCAGGTTGATATATGGGAAGAGAGAAAAGTATTTGGATCCAGGGGTCAGAATCTTAAAGATGAAGTGTTGGGCAAGAGTCCTGCTCCTTCAGTAAGCAACGGGAAGAGCTCAAATCCTATCAAAGTTGTGAAGAAGGATGCTCACTCAGTAAGGATTGTGAGTATCAGATTAAACTCTTCTGTTCAAAAATCACGCTGGGTTTATTATCATGGTTATGCACAGGTAATCTGAATGTTTTGTTAATTTCAACATCAGAAATTGGCTGTTGGCTGTACTCCAGAAAAAATTGTAACAGCATTCCAACTAGTTCATGATGAAAATGTGAATGAGGAAGATGCTTTGAACAAGTGTAAACATTCTGTTTTTCGCGTTGGGGAAATGGAGAATGATATTGAAAACCGTTCTTCCCAAGGTAAAAGAGTAATTGGCTGTTGGAATATTGTAAAGTGAAAAATATGTTAATCTTTTCTGTCTCTTAAATTGATGTTGCATATACATTTTGTGTCATTGTTCAGTTATAGTGGAGATCGCTTGCATTCTTGGCACTAGATTATTGTTGCTGTAAGGAGTATCTGCTATGTATGCCAAGTATATGACTATTCATGCTTTGATAGAACTTTATGGTTAAAATATGATTTAGCACCGAAGAGTGTGACCTAATGGTCAATGAAGTGGAGAGCTACCCAGTCTTAGGTTCAAACCCAGTCTTTGGGGACATTTGATAAAATTGGAACAATACAGAGAAGATTAGCGTGACTCCTGCTCAAGGATGACACACATAAATTGAGAAATGGTCCAAATATTTCTGGCTGGGGTCCTTGGTGGAAGTATTGGGGAGCTACCAACTGTATATCTGGGCATGCCTCTGAGTGATCAGAATAGGTCTATAGATATATGGAATGGGGTGGTAGAGAAGTGCGAGAAGAGGTTGGTGAACTGGAAAAGTCAATATCTCTCCTTAGGAGGAAGATTAACACTAATCAATAGTGTTTTGGACTCTATGCCTACCTATATGATGTCCCTTTTCCCTATCCCTGATGGGGTCATTGCGAGATTGGATGTTCTAAGAAGAATTTTTCTTTGGGAAGGGAACAGTGAAACCAAGAAATTCCACTTGGTAAAATGGGATGCACTGATTGAGAGTAAACAAAAAGGGGGTATGGGGGTCAGGAACTTAAAAACTCAGAACCAATGTCTTATGATGAAATGGCTCTGGAGATTTGCTTCTAGTGAGTTAGCTCTCTGGAAAGAAGTAATCCAGCTGAAGTATGAAATGGCAGATCATTGGACCACCAGAATGGTCACTGATACTTATGGGATCAACCTTTGGAGGTCCATTAGAAACCTGTGGCCAAAGCTTAGAAAAAATTCCAGCATAAGAACAGAAGATGGCAGGAAGGTACTTTTCTGGGAAGACAAATGGTTAGATCAAGCCCCCCTAAGGGACACCTTCAATGATATTTACACCCTAAACCAACAACAAAGGGCCACCGTGGCCAAAGTCTGGTCAAATCAGGGATGGAATTTGAGCTTTAGAAGACCTTTTAATGACTGGGAGATTTTGAGGTTAGTTGAGTTCTACAGCAAATTGGAGCAATTCAAAGGAACTTCAACTGACCAAGATAGATTGGAGTAGAAAGGCCACTGGAAAGGCCACAGTCAAGGTAGTTTCAGTGTGAAAGGGGCCTATAAAAAATTTAACCCTTGTGATAATCAGATTGAGGACTGGCCTTGGAAGCTTATATGGAAAGTCAAAATTCCTTATAAAGTTTCTTGCTTCACTTGGCTTGTGGCCAAACAAGCTGTTTTAACCCAAGAAAACCTCATGAAAAGGGGGATACATCTAAGTCCTAGGTGTTTTTTCTGTGAAGAAAAGGCTGAGACTGTAACCCACCTTTTTATACACTGCAGGATTACCCTTCAACTATGGGAAATGTTTCTAAGTAAGAAGGGCCTGAACTGGGTAATGCCAAGGAAAATAGATCAGACTTTGAAGATCTGGAGGAACAAGAGCAACAATATCCAGAAGATGAAGATGAAGTGCTTAGTTTTGTTTCATTTTTGGTGTAAACAGGAGTATAGGGAAGATCTAGAATCAAGTATGGATGTCTTGGGATCATTGTAAATTTTTGTTAAAAGGGTTGAAGATCTTCTAGATACTCCTCCTCAATTGTAATTAGGAAACCTGTAACTTGTCGTGGCAGGTTTCTGCTTTTGTGGAAATAGAATACAAGTTGTTACCTTCTCAAAAAAAAAAAAAAATCCTAGCAAAGGAATAAACTCTAGATGATTTTTCCCCATGTGCCTAAGCCTTGGTAGGCAAAATTACTCGGTACCTGTGTTTGTGGGAGCCTGGGAGGTAGTGGGTAATTGGTGCAATAGTTGAGTTACCTGCAAGCTGGCCCGGACACCACCATCATTAAAAAAAGTTGATTTATCTTCCAACAATCTTGTCTCTTTATGAGTGATTTAGGAGCACTTGCCTAGAAGTTCATAACCAACAACTTTACCTCTTTGAAGTAATCAATACTTTTGATCAACTGCTGCAAGTTGTTAACTACCTTTCGGAGAATCACATTGCTAATTTTGGTTAGGTAGGAACACAGAGTCATCTCCCTTAAGCTAGCATGTAGCAAGTGAATGAGACATCATAAGATCCGAGAAAGTTGTATCTTGATCACTTCCACATTATAAATATGAAAATTGTGTTTGTCTAGTGCATATACCTTTGTATAATGGGGTTTTTTCAGCAAGTGACAACATGGAACTTTTAATCTACACTATTTATTATTAGGTTGTTAATATTTGGACAAGCGGGGGTTGCTCTGATGGTAAGCACCCTCCACTTCCAACCTTGAGTTTGTGAGTTCGAGTCACCAAGGGAGCAAAAAGGTCGGAGCTCCTAGGGAGGGGTAAAAGAAAAAAAGGTTGTTATTATTTAAGTATATATTAACTGATTAATTAATCTGAACATGTAAGCTATCAAAAACGTTCTCCCTCTTTAGTGATAGGTATAATTTGTTTCATTGAAAAAGGAACTCCTAGGAAGTAAAAGTGATACAATCAAACCTCTATGACAACGCCATTTTATCCGGATATTTTTTGGTTGTTAAAGCGAAATGTAGTTACAGAGAACATATAATATAACATTATGTGAAAATTGGTTCCAAAAAAAAAACTTGGCCGCTATAGTGAAATATTGTTATGGAGGATGACGGTTCCAGATAGGTCTGATGGTAAAAGGAGAATATTCTTGCTAGCATGATAAACTTTAACTTAACCCTATAAGATATCAAGTCATGATTCAAGGTCATCAAGATAGATGAATGCATTAGCCTCAGGGATTTGATTCAAAGATTAGTGTGAGATGTGAGGCAGGCACATGTCACGAGTTAAAATCCTGCTGGGAAACCAAACTTGGTGTATAAGTGGAGTAAGGTAGAAGAATGAACTCATCATTATTCGAGTTTTGAAACTGAAAACAAATAAATTCCTTGATTATAAAAAGCAAAGGATTAGGAGAGGCACCAAAGACCATTATCTTTCCAAGAGATGATCTTCAGTGGGTTTGCTTTACCCTTTCATATGTCATCTATTCTACCGTTGGAGCACAGCTGCATGTATGAAATTGTCCAGTACTCCCCAAGGTAGTGGCCTAATGGTCAATGAAGTGGCCTGTGAACCATGAGATCTTAGGTTCATATCCCAGTAGAGACAAAAAACATTAGGTAACTTCTTCCCGTCTGACCTAGTCTTGGTGGACACAAGTACTTGGTATCTTTTCCTGGTGAGAGGTGATAGGTACCCCAACAAAGCTAAATTGCCGAATGGTTAAAGGATTGGAATTTGGATAACTATGACAGTCTAGAAAAAGACGACAAAATTAGTGTCTCAAGTTTTACAGATAGATAAGATACAAGAACTGAGAAATCTTACTGATGATGAATTGGTTAAACGAACAATTTTTAAAATGTGAGTTTGAACAGATGGCAAAATATGAAGAAATAGTAGGGAGACATAGGTTCAGAGTTGTTAGCAAAAAAATTTATTAACTATAGCTGGATTTAAAGGTGGACTATAGTGTTGTGAATAAACAAAAGCGGGTTGGCTTTGTAAGATTTATAGATGAATTTGAAGATGCCTTAAGAGTTTAAGGCCACAGGAAAGATTAGTCCTTGTTTTTGTTTATACTCGCATGGCGTAATCATAAACTCCATTGCTGCAGTATTTTCTCTTTCTTGCTATTACATATTGCTATTTTTGAACTAGTAGTTTTTCTTGAACTAAGTACTTGTTCCTTTTAAAATTTTTGATATTGTGTTTTCTTCTGACTCTTGCTCAGGAAATCTCCAGGGTTCTGAATTGATGGATAAATTGCTAGAACAGGAAAATATACTTCAACAATGCATCAGCCACTTTGAGAATGCTGAATCATTGAGAATTACCTTGATTTCTCTGCTGAAAGATGCACTTCAAGATCAAGTACTGTTTTTCATTTCCATCCCTCCCCCCTGCCCAAAAAAAGCAAGAAAAAGAATCTAACACCCTCCCGTACCTCCTATCACCAGGATTAATCTTAATTCTTTTTAGACCTTCTATTGTTTACCTTATATTTGATACTGTCTATATAGCAGAGAAGAATTATGCAAAAATTACATGACTGTTTCACATCCTCCTATTGGTCACTAACAATGTTCAATGCCTTTATTTTCCTATTTTCGCATTTCCATCTTAACACTCATGTCAACCCAAACGATTATTGCTTTTTCAGGAATCTAAGCTAGAGCTTTTACGCAGTGGGATGCAGGTACACTCAATCCAAATCTTTTATTGCACATATCTCCTTATATTTTATCTTCTTAGACTCCACCTGTGGGGATTACACTTGGTATGTTGTTGTATCTCCTTATATTTTATCCACTCACGAGAAAAAGGGAACAGAAAAATCATGAAGAGGTTCGCAAAAAACCCACAGGTGCACGGAGAATTGATGTGTGTGGATCCCTCTTTGCATTTACTGAATTAATTGCATGATCAGTTGCTGGAATTATTGAACATTTAATATACTTAAGTGTTGAGCAAATTGGTTTGTTTGTTTCGAGTTGAAGAACAGTCAGATATAAAGCAGTTTTTGGACTCACCAATGATGAAATATATGAAATTTTTGAGGAAAGTTAAGTTTGAGAAGAGGGAAGATGCGGTGACTTGTTTATTATTCTTTTCTACCAGCCAAATGGATGTATTGTACGTTTTAGATTCTTATTTAGTGTCCATGGTTTTCCTCTAGATATTATAGGTTTCCCAATTCTTATTTGCATATCAGAATTCCTGCTGTTTGCAGAACAATCTGAGGAAGGCAGTTGTGTGTTTAAGAGTCTATATGGACTTTAATAATTTGTAGCTGCTATGAATAGGTAATAGTCTTGTTTACTTTTTGTTTTTCTTTTACCAGTGAGGAGGAGTGAGAGGTTGGTTATAGTAGGTATGAGGAAAGGTAGAGGTAGGCCAAAGAAAAGACATGGCCATGACACAGCTTCTCCTTATATGGTTTCTCTTGTAATTGCATGCCTCTGCATCCCATCAACATATAGGCCTAACAACAGAGTCTCTCCAAAATTTTTACCCATTCAACCCTATCCAAGATTCCAATTCAATCTCAACCAATGTTTTCAAAAGTGAGCTTCATCACGTAAAGTAATTGAATGGTAATGGAAGAGTTACTAAAGTAACAGTTGACATAAGTTTGATGGATAATATTATTAACTAATTATATGAAATATTTTTGAAATGGTATATGGTATTAAATATTTTAAAATTTCCAACATGAATGTTATACAAATGTGCATTGTAAGGAAGGGAGGGTACTCTAGTTAAGCTAGAGGAATCTCAACATTAGATTCCACATAATATAAATCAATATTTGGTTGAGTGAATTAGGAAAATAATCTCCATAAAAGTAATGCAGTGTTTGATTGGCCGTTTAAGAAGTATCACTGCATAACATTATGCAACGCTTGTTTGAAAATATTTAGTAATAGTCGCATTAAGGTGTAGTAGAATCCATGTACTATTTTATGTTTGATAGAATGTGGAGTAAGAATACAACGGTCACTTTATGAGCTTTGGATTATTATAGGGCATTAGATGCTAAAATTAGTGGCTTAAGTTGCAATCAGTGTTATGAGTACATTCACGTATATTAAGCAACTGGTTGTATTGTCTTTAAATTATGCTCTTCATTTGGCAATATGTGTGCTTCACTTCTCACTTTTTGCTTATTGCCCTACAAGTCTTGTATTTGTGCTATTCGGTTTTAAAAACATTGCTCTTGAACAAAACAGCTGTTTACCCTTTTTGTCTAATTTGTCATTTTGTGTGATTCGATGTGGACAACTATTTGGAAACGGATAACTTTGTTATCCAATTTGTCGTTATGTGTGACTAGATGTAGATAGCAATTTGCAAGATGACTTCTTCAGGGTATGTGCGTCCCATGGCTCGGTCTAGTGGTAAGACAGCAGTGTGTGATGTATGGTTTAGGCTTACATCATGGGTTTGAACCCTGCCTCTGACAGGAACTTGGTGTTTAAGGCGAGAAAAGTGGAGGGGCTGGACCATTTTCCACTGGATTGCGGACTGTGTGCGATTGACCCTTGGGATTTTCTCGGTTATCAAAAAAACTTAAGGAATGTCTTGATGATAGGACTAAGATTCCTCCAACCTTGTTTTGGTGGAACACTTGCCAGCATGTCCCTTTAATGTTGTAACTCAAAATTTCCGCCTTAGGTGTTCTGCCATCTCCAGTATAGTTCTTGGTCAAATAAAGGGGTTGAAGATTTTGTTCTTTCCCAAGTATTTTCCCCCTTTAATTTAGGTCCCCATTTATGCTTTAAAAAGTTGGTATGTCCCCCTAAGAATAGTGCCAAGAGCAGCAACAGCAGCATACAGCGGCAGATTTTTCTCAACGGAAGAATGGAATCTGTAACCAAGCATGCAATTGTGATTAGAATCATGGGTCGTACCGGATCCAGGGGGGAGGTGACTCAGGTAAGAGTCAAGTTTCTTGATGACCAGAACAGGTTTATCATGAGAAATGTCAAGGGACCAGTCATAGAGGGTGATATTCTCATACTGTTGGAGTCTGAGAGGGGGGGCCAGGAGATTCGCTGAGCCCATAATTTAGATTGCCATATTGAAAAAAAAAGAAGAGTGCCGAGAGGAATCAAAAGCAATGCCCTGTTCTGATGCCTGTCATGACCGGTGTTTATTCTGTCCACTACCTCATAAATATCATCAGATAAAACAATCATGTTTGTAGAGGTGAAAATCTGTTAAATTAAATTGCAAAAATTACACCGGGTATGTTGTTTTAGAGGGTAAGGTCTGCGTACACACCACCCTCCCTAGAACCTACTTGTGGGGTTACACTGGGTATGTTGTTTAGCCTGCTCAATGCTTAATGACACATCAGGTTGATTCACTCAACCTATTATCATTGTATGTTCGAAGCTTCAGTAGTTGCATATGCCCAAATGCTAGCATGGGCATAGCACACCAGGCTGATTCTCTTGAACTATTTTCATTGAATGTAGCCTGTTCATGCTAATGACATGCTTTTGAATGCTTGGCATTGGTGTTGAGCCGCTTTGGTCTGCATGCACTCTTAGGAGTCGTTTGGTGTGAGGTATAAGATATAATAATTCCAGGATTAAATGTAGGATTATTTTATCCCATGGTTGGAGGTATTAGGTAGTCTTTGAATTATTTATCCCACCATTTTTGCCGTAGTGATGGGATAAGTTATGGGATTAATTATCTTGGGATAACTTGTTCCCAACCAAACAACCCCTTAGGGGTCGTTTGGTAGAGTGTATAAAAATAATACCCAATAGTGTATTAGTAATGCATGTATTAGTTATACTTGTATTAGTCATGCATAGATTATTTCTTATGCATTGTTTGGTTTGGTGTATTAAAAATAGTATGCATTGTATAAAAATATTTATTTACAAAAGTATCTTTCACAATTATGGTGGAAATTATGGTGGAAAAGATGTAAAAGTACTTTTGAGGGGTAATTGAGTCTTTAACCATATTAATGCATGCATTAAATCCTTTGCATTACTAATACCGTGGATTTCTAGGTATTAGTAATACACTCCTCAATACACAATAGAGTGTATAACTAATGCTTGCATTAGTTATACATAGCATGAAAAAATGCACCAAACAAGGGATTACTAATACATATAATTAATGCATGCATTATTTTTGCTAATACACTCTACCAAACGACCCCTTAGTCTTTTGTGGAATTCCAAGAAACCACAGCATGATTGTGTATCATTTTCTTCCACATTTGATAGGGGGCATGTCTCTCTTCCTTTTTGTGTAAGCTGCACACTTTTGAGTTCTCAAGTTTGAAGTTTTTGGGTTTCTCAAGAACACCAGAGATGCACAACATGTGGGCCTTGTCTAACGAGAACACCTTTTGATTCTTAATCGACATAGGTTTCAGTCAGCCAGTTTGATTTGTAGTAGTCTTAAGACTGCCATATCTCCATTTTCACCTTGAATTTTAATCCTCTGCAAAAATGTAATCATTGGATAGCTTTTATAAATGAGAACTGTTTATATGCGTCACTTTGTTCCTTGATTCTTAATAGATATTTTTCTCTGCTGTCTGCAAAAATGTAATCATTGGATAGCTGGTTGACATGCAGGTTGCGTGTGGTCAGATTGAACTAGTAAAAAATGCAAGGAGGAGGCTGACATCTCCCAGTGTTGCTGCTCCACCAGTGAATACTGGTATCCTTCCAATTGAAGTCACCAGAACAACTGAACCAATCCCGCCTTCAGTGCAATTAATCAACATCCCTCCTCTGCCTCCACCTCCCAATCCTGTGACTTCTTTCACAAATTCCAAAACTAATGAAGAGGAAAGCAAAAGGTCGGCAGCAGCAGCTGTTGCTGCAAAACTTGCTGCTTCAACATCTTCTGCTCAAATGTTAACCTCTGTTCTTTCATCCCTTGTTGCTGAAGAAGCTGCATCACTGAGCAGTGGATTGAAATCAACTGGCTTCACTTCTAGCTTGCCTTTTGCATCCCCAGAGAAACGGCTCAAGTTAGATAAGCCAATGACTTTTTCTGATATGAAAAGTTCTGAAAGGGGTAGCTCCACTTACTTTACTTCATCACAACAATTGATTACTAGCATTCCTCTTGCCCCATCCTCAGCCATGCAATCTGTGTCCCAGCCAAACCAGATACAAGCTCCGTTTCCACCTCCTCCCCCTCCCCCTCCATCATTACATCCAGCAAATTCCCCTGCAAGTCAGTTAGTTCAATCTACAGCTATGATGATGGGGGTGATGCCATATGGATATAGTGCTGGCCTTCAACAACCTCTGTCTTCTCAAATTGCAATGGGACTGAGGCCTCCTCCTCCACCACCCCAGCAAGCACAGCAGCAGCAGCAACTGCAGACTCAGCAGCCACAATCTCAGCAGCAGCCTGCCAACGGTGGATATTACCGTCCTCCTGGTATTGGATTCTATGGACAGGCCCATCAGCAGACGGCTCCAGCAGCACCGCGGCAGTAGATCCCTTTGGAATAGGGAGTGCATGTTACATTGTACATTAATAGTAAAAGTAGACTAGATCTAGTTACTGTTTTCGGCATCTTTTCATACTCTATTTGCACCCGACATCCGCTGGCAATACCCACACCCCCTTGTTATCACCAAGGCACCCTCTTTTGATTTAGTGTCGGGTGCTTTGCATCCATTTAAGCGTACCTGTAACCTTATGTAGGTGCTGTAAAATTAACTGTAGATTGGGCCATGTACTTAATATCTTCAAAACCGGGAGCTGAAAGAAGCTACTAGGTGAAATGTTCACCTGTTTCGCGGTGTGGGCTCTCGTCTATTAGTTGCTTGAAATCATGCGTTTTTAATCTCTGTATTTCATGGATATATATTCTGCAAGCCAAACCAAAACCACATTAATTAAAGTTAAACATGGTTAGGCTTGAACATGTATTAATTTTTTTGCATGATAACCATTTTGATCACTTATTTGCACTTGTATGAATTGCTTCATTCCGACCGACGACCGTTTTTTTTTATAGGAATTCATGATTTTCTCACTTTGTTTCAATGTGTGTACATGGACTTGAGAGAATATTTTACTGATTAGCATTTTTTGGCCCTAAATCTTTTATAACCATTCGAAATGACCTATGAACCATACTCATATCCACACCACCTTTTATTTTTAACATGCAACACAAGAATCCAAAGATTTTCTTCCACCAGTAACGTGAAGAAACAGTTATTTGAAGAGAAAATGTGTGAGCAATCAAGTGATGAATTAATTCGAATGCACCTCTAATTTTTTAATAACACGAACAAATAAAAGGTATTATCAGACCCCAAAAAAAGCTAGGCATCTGGAGCAATACATGAACCAACCAAAGCGAATAACAGGTTACTTGGAGAAATAGAGAACAACATATTTGTTTGTTTCATAACGAACGAAGTAAGTATATTTTAGTATTAGAAAGGAATACTACAATAATACATAAAAACAAGCTATTCTGAGTCCGATGAGTCAGGATTTGAACTCTGCCTCACACTCTTGTTCGACTGAGCTTGAGCTTTGGATTTTGATAAAAATTTTGATGATTCACCCTCAAAGATGATAACATCAGCTTTAGCTAACCTCTCTTCAAGTTCCTCCGTGTTAAACTCATCGGTACCCCCAAGCTCATCAAATCCAACCTGTAATAATAGCCAAATCATGGACGATAATAATGACAGAGTGTAAATAGTTGGAAAGTTGATTGTTAACTGGACAGACATACCAGGTAGTTATCAACTTTAGCATTTTTGATGAGTGCAAGGGTTGGAAGAACAACAATTCTAAGCTTCTCAGCCAAGTATGGGGTCTTCTCAGCATTAATTTTCACAAAACGTGTCTCTATATGCTGTTTTGCCAGTATGCTCAAATGCTTGTCCATAACCTGCATTGCAACAATCAATGGTTGGAAACAGGCTAGCTTTTAGTTGAATTGGAGGAAACTAGATTTACCTTGCAAGGCCAATTCTCGCGGTAGAAATGGCAAACAACGCGATCACTAGCCTTAACAACAGAGAAAAAGTCCTTTTCAGCTTGGATCTCGGAGTATTCTCCATGTCCAAGAGATATCCAACGATTCCGTTTTTCAGCCATTTTCTTCATCTGTTGCAATCTACGTTCTCTCAACACCTCCAAATCATCAAGATCTAACCGATCTAAAGCATGAATCTCTTCATCAAGCTTGTCCTCCACCGCTTTTGCCACCGTCAACACTTGCTTTGCCACTATCTGCAATTCAAAAAATCCTAAATAAACATCAAATTTTCCACCCTCCATTGTTAAATAAATAATACCTCTTGAACCGCATTCTCCATGGTTGAAAATTGTTTTTTTTTGGGGGAAAATGAAGCTTAATCTGTTTGTTCTTTCTTCAAATTGAAATGGATGTGATGTGTAAGGCACAGCCCTAGCCCTTATAATCCACGGGTTGCCCCGGCCCGTTTACCACCAACTTCTTTTTGCCAAAATTCATTTTATTAATTAATAAAAATAATAATTTGATTTCTTATACAAATCATAGTTTCTTTAGAAACAAGATATTAAATACTATCTTGATTTTATTTTTCCGTCATCCGATTTTTGATATATGTATGTATGGATATGGAAGTCAGAGAGCCCCCATTCAAAGAAAGCAAGTTTTTGATCCACGTATTCTGCATTTAATTAACCTAATTTATAGTGTCACTTGAAGCGTTTTGTTATGTTGTAATGATAAAGTAAGCATACATTTTTGGTATTCTAATAAATCATCTTTAGTGTATAAATAAATAAATAAATTATGAGGAAAACAAAAGAGTCTAGCTAAAATTTTATAAACTACAACTTGTTAGCAAAACAGTACAATAATCTACAATTCCCTCTGAAGACATTTCAAAGAGCATCAATAGAGATATTATCATGACATTACTGCAGCAATAGATAGGTGTTGGTTTGTCAAGGTCAAGTTCAACCGAAGTGTATTTGGATGAGGCAGTAAGAAATATCTACTCTTCCGGATCCACATTCTTATTTTCTGTCTCAATCTTCACACAATTTCCAGCACCTTGGTTAAGCAGTCCCTTCTTATAAAGTGAGTCCAATTCATGGAAATAGGGGCATGATCTGTAGTTTTTTGGACGCGTCTTACCACTGTCAATTGTCCTTTTATAGTACTTGTTAATGTTCTCCCATTTTTCTTTACACTTTTTTGCTGTCCGAATGTAACCCATCTTACCCAATCCATCCGCTACCTCTTCCCACACGGATCCTTTAGCTCCTTTAAGAAACTTGTGATCTAAACAAGTACGAACTGATACAAGGGCTTGTACTTCAGATTTTGGCCATCTCCTATTACATGGATCGGATCTAATATCACCATGAACTTCACCTTCATCTTTAACTACACTTGTTACTTCTGATGATTTTGGAATTTGGAAATCTTCACCTAACAGATTCTCAAGGAAAGCAATAAGAGCCAAGTTTCTAGATGTCTCTTCAGCTCTCAACTCCACATCCCGCCTTGCCCTTTCTACCTCTTGCTGCTTCCAAGCTTCTTCCCGAATGATTCTCTCCTCTTCCTTCTTCTCTAGCATCTCTATTAATTGCTTGTGCATCTGCTCTTGCCTGTCCATCAACTTCTTTACCATGTCTTCAAGACTTAATTTAAGACTCTTCCGTGGTAAATGTTCTTCACTGTCATCTGAAGATGAGCTGCATCAAGGTAAATTAAATGCCAGTTGAATCAGGTTTCTCACAAACTATTAGAAGAAAGTTATTGCTAAGGAAGTTCACAGATTCTTCAACATACTATTGCAAATTCATTCATATCTTCAGAATTTCGTTGGAGAAACCAATCATTCCTAGAAAATCACTTTTGTTATTCAAATAAATCTGGATTACAAAAAGTTGCATTATCCATCAGAACTATTTTGGAGTAAATTGGCATGAAATATTAGACCTTGGCAGTGAGTTTGAAGCACAGGCTACCGTTAATCCCAGCGCAACCAACCATACAAATTCAAGACCTTATTAGCCGCTTTCTTTCCCCTTATATGATATGAACCACAACAACACACCCAATGTAGTCCTTCTGGGAAGGGTAGAGTGTACGTAGACTTCACCCGACACCACAGAGGTAGAGAAGTTGTTTTTGATAGACCCTTGGCTATGACATCAACCACCAATCTACTAATTGATGTAGATTTGATACCCTTAAAATGACTTCTAAGGTGTAAAATGTAAAGAGAGAATAAAAAGTATGAACCATTTCTAATATCAAAAGGTTTTGAACTTATTCTAAATAAGTCTCAAAAAGCTTAGTTTTTTTTTGACAAAACTTAAATTTAAAGTTAACTGGTAATGACATCAAGTACTTTATGTGACAAAAGTAAGTACTAATTAGCAACAAAAACAATTGGAAATTAGAAAGTTAATATAAAAAAATATAAAAATAATGCAATTACGAATAATATTAGCTCAAAATGAATATTTATTTAAAGAGCAAAATGAAGACCTTTGCTCACATAATTTAATCCCATAAATATCAAACAGCATAATAAGGCATGGCGCTATTATTAATTAATAATACAGAAGATTACCTAAAATCAGCCTCCAAAATACGAGATTGCGAGATCAAATTCAAGCAATCAGCATCTAACTCCGACTTCATTTGCTGAACTGCCGAAATCTCCGCCTCCGAGCACCTAGCGACGCCATTCTCGTCCAACGAATTAACAAATCCACACTCCATGGGTAACACCGTAGACGCATTTTGAGCAGAAAACTGACTCAAAAACCCTAAATCACTAGTGCAAGTCATCAAAGCTTCGTCAATATCACAGTTGCTGTCCACCATATCGACATAGTTTCGTCCGTTTCCAAACCGCACCGGTCGGAGTTTACGGACAGGGGAAACCGGAAGGCGGTGGATGTCCGTCGGAGCAATAACGGCGGATGGATTCTCGTAAACGACGTTAGTAGATTCAGGGAAAGGAGCAAGGTTATCAGCGAAAGAAGTGATGTCGTTTGATGTATGGCCGTCGCCGTCGATGAGGGGTTCCATTGTAGAGGTAAAAAAAAAAAAAAGTGTAATATAAAGCGGCGGCGGAAGGGAAATGGAGGACTGGTAAAAGCAAAGTAAAATGGGGTAAAAGGGAAAGGAATCACCGAATTAACAATTTTTTATTTATTTTATAAAAGTTTGATCTCTTATTTATTAGGTGCCACATGATTTGCCTATCTCCAATTTCAACCGTGGGTGAAGGTTCTAAAAGCACTTCAAATTGATACTAATATATACCAAACTTTTTTATAATGATATAAATAACATCACATGCATAATCAATTTTTATGAAAAAAATGTTATTTTAGAATATGACTGACTGTTATAGAGAAACACAATTAATATATCTTTACAAATACTAAACAAAGTTAAATATGAAGAAATCCATCCATTGCTAAAATTTTCATTCAACAAGAGATTATGGTTCATGGATTCCATTCAAAAGCTGAAACATTCAATCCTATCCTATCTACTAAACTCTAGATATTCCAGCACAACTCAAAAGTACAACAAGCACAGTTTCTCTCTTTCAATCGTGTAATTTTTCACGAATAAAAGGCAATACAATACGTACAAGTGATTACAGGTAAATTGACATTATTCCTCTGCTACTTTTCTTGAGTGGCCATGAGTTGAGACCTTACTTCTAATCATTTGACATTATTAAAAGACATATGTTCACCTCTGTATGGACTTGTAAAGTACCACTGTCACGTATTTGGACAGGAATCGATTAGTTGAACCGAGTGCTACCACAGATGG